TGTGGAGAGGCCATGTACTGGCTATGTTCCTAACAGTAGGACACAATGTTAGTAGTAAGACACAGTCCTAGCAGTAAGACACAGTCCTAGCAGTAAACACAATCCGTGCAGTAAGACACAGTGCTAGCACTAAGACGCAGTGCTAGCAGTAAGACACATGCAGTCCTAGCAGTAAGACATAATCCATGAAGTAAGACACGGTTCTAGCAGTAAGACATAATCCTTGCAGTAAGACACAGTCTTAGCAGTAAGACACAGTCCCAGCAGTAAGACACAGTCCTAGCACTAATACAAAGTGCTAGCAGAAAGACACAGTGCCAGCAGTTAGAACACAGTGCCATGCATGGAGTATATTTCCCAAGTCATCTTTTAATTTGTTGTCGATAATGTATCATTAAAATATCTATTCTAATAAAAATTATTATATTTCTTTTTTAAATTCATTTTCTTATGACTGAGTAGAATTTTTAGGTCACCTGAGTCACTCAGCTTCTTCTCTGGAACTGCTAAACCAATTTCAACCAATTTTGGCATATAACATCTGTGGGTGAAGAGAAACAATAATTGTGAATTTTATAGTCCCTGTCCCCCTGGGTCCTGAGAGGTGGGGCTATAATTACCAAAATTTATGCAATCTATAAAAAAAATCTTCTTTACTCCTAGGCATCAAGCAGTCAAACTGTTTGAATGATAATAATAAGCTAGCTTTGAGCCCTCTACCAAAATTGTGAAAATCACGGCCCCAGGGTCAGTGGTTTTGGTGCTAGGGCGGGGCTCTGTTGAATAAATACCCCGGTAGTAAAATTACATAATTTATCAAAAAAAAAATGTTCTCCTGGGTGTAACATGTGTAAAGCAAACAAATTAAATGCATAGTTATGACGAAAGTTCCTCTTCCAAAATTGTGAATTTCATGGCCCCTGGGTCAGGGGTTCAGATGTTAGGGCGGAGCTCTAATGATTATATAGTGAAGATTCGTTAAATTTTTGAAAATCTTCTCTGTTCTTGGGTATAAAGCCGATGAACAAAATTCATAGTTATGATAAGGAAGAGTGCCTCTTCCAAAATTGTTAATTTCATGGCCCTTTGGTCAGGGGTTTTGGTGTTCTGGCGGACCCTATTGATTATATAGTGAAAATGCGTTCTTCTCCTCTACTCATGGGTAAAAAGCTAATGAACTAAGTAAATGGTTATGATGAAAAAGGGTTCCTCTTCCAAAATTGTGAATTTCATGGCCCCTGGGTCAGGGGTTCTGGTGTTATAGGGCGGAGCTCAAATGATTATGTGGTGAAAATGTATTAATTCTTTGAAAATCTTCTCCTCTGCTCCTGGGTATCAAGCCGATGAACTAAGTATATAGTTATAATGAGGAAGGGTGCCTCTTCCAAAATTGTGAAATATATGGCCCCAGGTTCAGGTGTTATGATGTTAGGGTAGGGCTCTAATAATGATATAGTGAAAACGCATTAATTCTATGAAAATATTCTCCTCTGCTCCTGGGTATTAAGCCGATGAACTAATTACATAGTTATGATGATGAAGGGCACCTCTTCCAAAATTTTGAAAGATGTGGCCCCTGGGTCAGGGGTTCTGGGGGCTTTTTTTTAATTATTATTATACATGTATACTCAAAATGAATTAATGCTTTGAAAATCTTCTCCTTTGACCCTTTAAGCAAACAAAATGCATACATAGTAGTTATGATGCGCAAAAATGCTTTTTCCAAAATTGTGATTTTCATGGACCCTGGGTCAGAGGTCCTGGTGTTTGGGCGGGAATCTATTGATTTTATAGCAAAAATGTATTTAATACAGTCCACTATTACATTTCCCATAGACAATGTTAATGTTTTCTAACACAGCTCCTCCCCTAATTTTCGTTGAAGTATAGGACACTCCTCAAATGAAAGCTCTTCAAATTTTCTCTCATTGGTTAAAATCTCTAGGTGGCATGTCAGGTTCGTTTTCCGGCAAAATGTGCATCTGAAAATAAATTTCCAAAGTTAGGATAATATCAAACAATTCAATTCCTTTCCTTTTAAAGATAACACAAATATGAAAATGGTACTGAATGTGGAATTTTCTCACCTTTCATATGTATCAAGCATCTTTAGTTCAGATGACCTACTTATTTTATACTGGTTGCAACTATTTCGTTTTAGTGAACTACTTTCTTCCCTATCGATTCTAGAAATAATCAGCGGTATGTACCCGAATATAAATACATTGTATATGTAAATGTGCCTTTTCTTAGCTCCTGGGTGCAAAATTGTAATAAGTGAAGCAAATGAGAGTTACTCCCCTTTGCTAAATTGTGTTAAATCAAGAAATCATTGTATATGATTTAATTAACAGGTAATTTGATGAAATGAGAATACAAGAAAGAATGTTATATATATTGAAACAAAATAAAAATGAATGAAAAATCATGCTCAAAGTCAGATTCTTGCCTGGAAAGCAATATAAAAGATTGAAATAAAGATTATTTATAAAAGGACCACTTCATTTTACTTAATACGTGTATATAGTACAGTGTTCTGATGGACAATGGAGGACTTATTGTCAGGTTAAATTCATGGAGATCAGAGTTTAGTTGGCCAGAGACTGCAAAGAGTTGCTTTACAATTTATCAAAGTGAAAAATTGAATAGAGAGCAAGGGTGACTAGGGAACATGTTGTAGTAACTAACAAATAGTCATATTGTATACTAAGCTAAGTGGAGAGTGTTGGTAACAAGTATTACCAATTTTTTTGTATAGCCAAGAGGCAAAGAGTACCAAAGTGTTACCAAGTGGCAAGCAGCTAAGTTGTTTGTGTAGTCTAGAGGGATCACCTCGAGTAAATATACAGGCAATAGAGATTTCTCTTTCTGTAGTACTTAATTGTAGCACTAGGCAAGTGATAAAAACATATGTATTTTTAGAAGAACTGTGGTTTAATTCTACAAGCGGTAATCCAAATCATACCTGTAGCTCCCTTTCTAAGGAGGAAATTCTTCAAAATCTTATGCCAGTTTTGAATATTTTTAATGTTCTCAACATTTGAATTACCATATCTATATTGGATTCCGAAACTGCATAAAAATCCTTACAAAAAAGATACAAAGCGGGTTCCAGTAAATGTTCTACCAAGCCCCTTTCTTTACTCCTCACTAAAATATTAACAGTAGTGAAGGAAAAACTTAAGAGTACTGTGCAACAATATATATTCGAGAAGTGGTTTAAATCAGATGTGGATACATAAAAATTCCAAGGAACTTTTGGAAAATTTGAAATCACAAAATTGTACCAAAATCAACAACATAAAAACTTACGACTTTTCATCTTTATATACAACCATTCCCCACGATAAATTATAGTCCATCCTTTTTGACATCATTGACAGCTGCTTTTTCAATAAAAATGGAACTTGTAAATTTACTTACCTTGTCATTGGCCATTTGCAAAATTATTTTGTTAAAAAAAAAAATTCTGATTGTACACACAAGTACTCTGAAGTTTGAGTTTCTGATTGACAATATCTATGTGGTTTATGGAGACCAGGTCTTTCAACAATCTATCGGAATTCCCATGGGTACCAATTGCACCTCGTTATTAGCAGAGCTATTTTTGTATTCATATGAAGCAGAATTTGTTTAAAAATCTTATACGTGAAAAGAAGAAAACACTTGCTATGGCCTTCAATTCAACATTTAGATATATCGACGACGTATTGTCAATTAACAATGGTTATATTTCCATTCTTATGTCGATACGATATATCCCGGTGAGCTTGAAATAAAAGATACCACAGATTCTGACACATCTGTTTCATATTTGGATATTTTACTAGAAAAAGACATTAATGGTAATCTAACAACAAAGCTTTATGATAAACGTGATGACTTTCACTTTTCAATCGTCAACTTCTCTTACTTATACAGCAATATACCTTTATCACCTGTATGTATACAGGGTTTATATCTCTCAGTTGATTCGATACGCAAGAGCATGCTCTACGTATGAACAATTTCTAAAACGAGGCAAGCTACTGACAAACAAAGTGATGAAACAAGAATATCAGCAGTCTCGTTTAAAGTCATCATTTCGTAAGTTCTATGGTCGATACAATGATCTTGTCAGCAAATACAATCTATCATTAAGTCAAATGCTGACAGACGTTTTTCAAACTAATTGTTAGGCCGTTATATATTTACAACTGAATTGTCGACGGATTTTTTCCGTTATTTCCCGATCACAAGGAGGACACGGAGGGTGTGACCGGTCGGCAGGGGATGCTCACTCCTCCATGGCACCTCTGATATCAGTTTTAGCGGTCCGTGTTTGCTCTGCTCCGAAATTTTTATTGTTTAATGGACTTTTGAGCTTGAATACTGTTCGTTATCTCCATATATTCATATACAATTTATATTGAATATATATTATGTATATATTGAATACCTATACACACTAGGCGTGTACATGTATTTGTATATTTTGCATCCTTTATCATCCCTATAAGACTTGGGAAAACTATATAAGTACAATCCCAGGGAGATCACTTGGGTCTCGCACGTTACAATATAAGCAAGGGTATTTTTATCAGATTTTAGAAATTCTTGGGCAACATAGCTTCATCTATCAATTAATTTTGTTTTATACCTCTATGGATCCTTTACAGTGATGTATTATACTCAGGTGACCGTTAATGGCCCTTGGGCCTCTTGTTTAAAAAAAAAGGTCAAGTCTACATCTCAGTGTTACCCTACGTCTTTTCCTTGAACAGACTTACTTAACAGAGGTACATGCATAAATCATGTCTCTGCTGTTCAATAAAAGTAGCTAGGAAGAAAAGAAAAGGGCCATTTCAGTATAACTGTTTTTACTATTTTTCTTCAAATGTTATAAAGCTGGCATTGAGGAAAACAAGTTTCCCCCGTCGATCTTAATTAAAGGTCTATCGCTATTCAGTGCATTTTCCCTGCATGACTACTCAACAGAATACACAAGCGCCCTCTCCCTGATCACGTGATCAAAACAAACCGGCCAAAACTGGTGCGTTGTAGAAGAGATTGGTTGGAAGGAGACTTGCATTTTCAAGGTAAAGTTAAAAAGATAACGTCATTTAGACTCATGGCCCAGTCAAAGGCCGGAGGAAAATGTAGATGACTTGGGGTATCTACAGCGCGTGCCTCTTAGCGCTTTCAGAGAGGGTTGTATTTACACAATCAGCTGACTGCGATTAAGGCACAAAAAATTCTTGTTTGTGGTTGTCCATATACACTTGAGTAAATAATATAATAAAAATATAAGCATCAGTAATTCGGGAGGACGTCTTCCCAGGTTTGTTTTTCCTTTTAAGACAAATATATTGCATGTCTCCTAGGGTGCCGTCAGCATATTGTTTACACAAAATAACGGCTCTACCAAACAATGGGAGACAGCTGTTCGATCAGTACGTGCCTGACCTACTAATCCATTTCCCATCCATTTGTAACGAAGGGTGTTTTTCAAAAAAAAAAAAAAAATACAGACTTTTCTTGTCTTCTTTATAGAAAACGTAATGTAACTAATGTAACTAAGTTAATGAGGAAGTATATTTGTGTGTAAATTGTACTGAGAACTGAAAGAATGTTAATGCGCACTGTATTTTCTGCGGCATACTGATGCAGTATGCAAAAAAATGAACTAGATTTAGCCCAGATGATTCAGATTTGGTGTTGTAGTACAAACAAATCGTTCATATGTAAAAATCTTCATATTGTGTGAAATAAATAGTATATACATGTATGCATCTTCAATACAGAATATACTTTCCAATTTTAACTATGGTTGTCACCATTTTGTGAGAAATAGACGCAGTGATTGAGCCCTGATAAAATGGTAAGGTAAAATTAAATCATATTAAAAAAAACACACACACACATACAAAAACTTCAGAGAAACTTATTCAAGAACATTTGCTGACAGATCTTTGTGTTAATTATTGAACACATGTACATGTCCTGTGTACATAGGTGTTCATGCAGGCCTGCCAGAGAGAGAGAGAGAGAGATTGTGTCCAATGAATAAGGGCTTTATGCCAATCAAATATTCATTAAAATTTCTTCATAAAAAATGCAGAATGCATAATAATAATTGTATATCTAGAGGTTTTATTCATTATTCAACTGGATTAACTAACATTTTCGTTCAATGTATGAATGATAAGCAATTAATGTCTAGATAAGTGTACAAAAATGTGAATAAAATATATGAAATTAGGCCAACACAGAAGCAGGTCATCTTACTCGGAATTAAATAACTTCATGAAATTATTGCAGTTTATTGAAATAGATGAATGGAAAAGTTTGAAGTATTGTAGAAAATGCCTCCTTGATATAACTTTTTAAATTTAGTTGTACAGATCTGGTCACTGACCTCTTTATAATGGTTAATGTACTGAACTTAACCTAATTAAATCTTAACGGTGCAATCAAAAACTCACACACAAGGTTTGAGAAATTTGAAATTCATGACTAAGGGCTTTGGACTGGCAAAAAAAGAAAAGTAGATCACAACGTAGTAAGAACAGGTGACAAAAATGAATGTGTGTTAGTTATACTCCGAGATGAAACGCAATTAATGTACAGGCAGACAGAAAGTTGGAATATTAGACTGATTTAGGTACATACTGCCTGCTGTGTCACTTGAGGTCACCTTATAGGTCAGTGAACCACTTCTATATATTGTAGACGTAGGTAACGGGTGTCTGCGCTCGGCAGTAAGAAACCTCACAGCAGTAATAGCTTCATTATACAAGATATAAAAACCTAAGTCTAGGAGTGAAACAAAAGTAGTGATTTACATGTAGTGCTACCCTGTATATAGTGAATAGTGAATATTAAAATGCTTCAGAAACAGGTTTGTACTTCATTGTATTAATGTTTTATTTCATGATTATGTACCATGTATTTTATTCTTTTTAAGTTAATTTATACAGAATTGCCATATTAAGCTTGCCTCATTATTTGGTATGTACCTCTCTGGTTGATGATTTGTGTCTCAGACTTTATTCATTGATTAATAAATACTGCCTTCATATGTAATTTCTCTTCTTAAAATGATAGACCAGCAGTTTAGATACCATTAACTATTTCAAAACTTCAAGTCGCTGCATATATTGTAAAATAAATCAATGTATGCATACCATATTTTATGATGACGTGCAGCTCAGAGATTTTGAGGGGTTCTGCAGTCAGTTGATTAAGTAAATATTATTGACCTCCAGGAAAGGACCCAAGATTTTAAATTCCTAATAGAATTTACTCGCGACTCAATCTTAAAAACATATTAAGATATTACAGGATTTGTGTAATACTGTTATTATGAACAGCTGTAAGAAAGTACCATTGTCTTCCTGTGAATCACTTCTTATAAGGTCAACAGGCATCAAAGATATAGAACTTGTTATTAATAATTGTGTGGAATATGTTAATGACCCTAGAGTTAACAATTATATATTTCCACCTTTCTGTGGAACATTTTCAAACTTCATGAGCAATAAAGTTATGTTAACGTAAATAAGTTTTCTCTCAGGTTGTTGAATGTTCAGAGTGGGAGATGGAGCCCCCTGATCCAGTATTGGTACAGCTCGGCAGTTCTAACCTCACCATAGCCAGTATACACACCATAGGGAGTGCCAACCTTACCCCCTTACCACAGAAAAAAAAGTTCATCTCCAGGGAGGGGTCTGTAGCGGGGACGGACCTGCTGCCAATTTGCCGAATCTGTCAGCTCCCCGGGGACTTACCTGACCCCCTGTTCTCACCCTGCCGCTGTTCAGGGTCACTCAGATTTATTCATTACAGTTGTCTGAAGGTAAGAAAGATGCTGATTGGTCACTTTAGTGAGGCTGCCCCCCCCCCCCAACACTTGACAAGCAAAGATTGTATCCTACATGAGCTGGATTTACTGTGTGAAATCTCTAGTAATTTGGTTCTACTTCATGTGAAGACTGGTATAAAACATCAATTTTTTTTATCCCCCCTCCCCCTCCCAATCACAAATATTTTCTTAGTGTGTTTTAACTTTGTGTAGTGTAGGTTTATCTTTAAGTCTCTGTGGGATAATTTATCTGTCTTTCATTTCATTGGCTCTAAATCAGTCTTTGGAAGGATGTCAAATGTATAATCAATAATGATGTGCACCAGGAAATAATGATAGAGATGGTCTCTGTTGGGGGAGCTGTGTTGGTGGTTTATCGATTTAGTTTGAGCGTACAGAATAATTTTAACATAACTTCACTGCTGATGGACTACCAGGTGATTGTTTAAACACTCGGAAACTTAATATTCTTTATTCATTATTTACCAATAGACTCCTGTACGTTTTGTATTATTTACTGTAAATTACAGCATTAAATTCATAATAAGGTCGGAATAATGGATATGAATTCTTTATACCTGTATGTTGAGGGAGCTGAGAAAATATAAAGTGTGTAATCTTTAAGTGGTAGAATTGTATTGATCACTATGTGGCTTTAAACTTAGTAGGGCTTTAAATAAATGCAACTTACTCAGAGACTAAAAATACTGAAGCTTGTTGTTATGTCATTAAAAGATTCTGCATAATTAAGTCACAGTAGATATTAAATTTTATTCCTACTCAAATCAAGAAATTATCAAGTTTGATGATTTAACATACAGATACTACCTAATATAAGTAATAAATGTTAAGACATACTCCATGAATTAATGCGGTATTGGGTTATAGAGAATTATATAGAGGTTATAGGAGCTAGAAGTTATATTCAGTTAAGTCAGAATCCATCCTATACAGATCCATCCTATACAGTTATCATTGATAAGTATATAATTATATACATGTAGGTGCTGGACTCTACAGCTAAGACAAAGAGTAAGACCAGGTCACACAGTGAAGTGTTTTGTGGTTAATTAGGGTTAGACATGCCATGTAGAATAGTCGGGTTTCCGGACCTGTACAGTAATTCTCTGCCAGAAAGCGCCATTAGGATCGACTCATTGTTATACATTTAAATTGAAGCTTCGTAGGAATTTAAGTTTGTCCTTGACATTGTGTGAAGTAAATATGTTGTTTTTCATGCAAATTCTGAACTGTTGTCATAAATCCAGTTGGCTGTACCTATAAATAGATATAACACATGGAAATTAGAGAATGCTAATTTTTTTGAAAGCAAGGCGTTTAGAAGATTCGATCATCAGTTTATTGTATTTGCTATCATATAAGCATACTCTTAAAAATAAAATGTATGATTCTCAAATTCTAATAGTGTGATAATGCCTCCATCTTGAAAAATGTTGATGATTACTGAATTTGAACCCTGAGGTTACTGACCAGAGCTGCCATTATTGAGTGGGAGTTACACTAATATTGTGGAAGTGTATAATCTTACAGATAATGAACTGTAAACTGTATACTATTATTGTGGAAATGTACAGTCTTTTTAGATAAAATGAACTGTACAGAGACTTTACTCTCCCATAGATATAATTAGCTGTAAGGCTGTTGACATGCATATATATAATCATAAGAGAATGTGAAGCATGCAGAAGGAAGGGAAGTCAAAAGCTAATTTTAAAGTTAATTGAGTACATGTACTTATTATTGTACATGTTTAAAGTTATATACACAGACAATGAAGGGGCAAGTAGTTGTTGCAGTGAGATAATTTATCTAGATTCCTGTTTAATAGCAGCATATAGCCTGGTTTTAACATTACTCCTAATAGTAAATGTTCCCACAATAAGTAAATAATGTAGTGTCACCATGCAATGCATTTTGGGGGTTGTTTAGGAATTTATGATAAGTTTAGTATAGATTTGAGTTTGTTATGATGTCAAGGAATTCCTCTGAACTACTGCATCAGCATTTTTTTGACAGTAGGTAGGTCACATGCTCCTATCTGGTCATAATGCGATCCGTGAGACAAATAAGTCATCTGTGTGACAGGTGGATGTCAACTGACCAAGTTTTAGGCCTAAATTGATCCCTTTATTTAAC